CAAGAATGACCTTCAACCACCTCTACGTTACAAAAAGGTGAGGTCACCTAAAATAATCATGGCATCTCAAGCTAATATCTAAGAGTTGCAAATCGTTATCCAAACGTTACAGTGGAATGGAGACAGAAACAGTCCAGGACACCAATAACACAACTGGTGTTACGTGGTATAGCGAGAATGAACTTGTTCACAAGTTGAAATCAGAGCCACGTGTGGGCAATCAATGTTAGAGAAAGTCTGAAGGCGTAAGTGGACATAGAATAGAGTTGTTATCGGATTACAGAATCTGGATTGAGAGCCACAGCACACAACATTTGGCTTGGGACAGAGAAGGGTTTGTTAATAAGCATAGGAACTCACGGTGAGGGGATTATTTACCGGGACGAGCGTTTCACAGGAGAGGGCATTCGAAATTCCTCTACACTCAGTGTTCAGCTATGTTACCGTGACGATGTCCTAAGCCTTTGAAATCTGACAAGTACGATGCTAGTTTAACTTACTGAGGATATCTTATACATTGGTTTACAAGCAACAGAGGAGCTCAGATGTTAGAAACTCATTTGTGAATGCGAATTAAAGGTGAGTGCTTATGCCAACCATTATGAAGTCGGCTGCTAGTATTTGGTTTCCTAAACAGTTGACTTAGGCCCCGAAGCCGTTCCGGCTTTGTGTGTATCAAGTGCAGTGTCAGCAAGCGATTTATAAACTAGAATCATTCAGATGTCGCAGGAGTATGACAGCGTCCAGCTTTGGAAAGGACCGAGACACTCGAGGCCTGTTTATTCAGTGTTACCTTGTCTATTCTTAGCCCACTGTCCATCAGCTTTAAACTTATTTCTGGTGGCAAGATTTTGCGCGTTTTGCGCTACACTTCAATCATCTATTCTGCGATGGGTCATATTTGCAGTGGTACTTTCATCACTCGTGGATCAGACCCTTTTAGTTGGGTTAGAATTGTAACTCTGAAGTCGAATAAATGCTTACCTTTTTGTAGAGCAATTCATTCCAATTGTACGCTTGATCTTCTAGCATTCGTAAATTTTAAAGCCCAGGGACACTGTGGCCAAGAACCTATTTTTCGTTATTTCATTCTCGGTAGTCATCCCGAAACATCTAAAACATTCTGATCAGTGCATTGAATTGTACAGAAATGAGTGGTTGACAAAAGAACGTCCACTGCATTATCTCCTGACTAAAGCATAGTGTATTGATTTGGTATGACGAACGGAAGCTGCAAACTGACCGGCTTAAATTCAACCCAAATTAATTGACGCATGGAGTTCCTCTGTTTCCCGGCCTAACTAAATGAAATTACAGTAAAGAGATATTCCTCGAGAGTGCGAGGTAGGGTCCAACTGAATGGTTTGATCCCCTTGAATTTGCTCCAGTTTGCCTCAAATTCTGACACTTGGGAGCACAGAGCGATTAGAGAATTATCGTTGTTTAGTGTTCACTTAGTTGCAGTAATGTGCAGCTCCTTTCATTGGTGGAACGTCCGGGTCATCAGAAATCAGAAGTAGCACTAACTTCAGCTTATTTGGCAGTTCTCGAGTTTAGAATAGACAGTGTCTTCGTTATATGAGTGACAACAACGGAGGAGTCACTTGTTAGTTTTTAGGCATAACTGCAGTTACGTGTGGCCTGGTTGAGGTGTGCGGTGCGAACGTAGGTTGGCTAACAGCACTTCGTATTGAGGTAGCATTCAGTGCATTAGAATTTCCTAACTTTGGATCATTGCTAATATCTCCGACCTTGTTGCACTGTTCCGAACTAGAGTTTGATGCTGAAAATCAAGTTCGAGGCGCTGATTTCTCTAGGTCAACTGGAGCAGGTATTACGGAAGTTACTTGCTTTGCAATATCTGTCGGTCTGTCACACTTCAGCGTCAACAGAGCTATACATTTGCTGTGAAAAATAACTGTGAATTCTGTGCAATACTAAACGGAATCTATCGTGTTATCGCGTTTTTCTACATCACAGATAGTTTAGCAAATGCATTTAAGATAGGTATTTTGCAGGTTAGAGTCCGTTAAGTTAATTTATAAACAAAGTTAGTTCTTGCATCGAAACTATCAGTGAATTATCAAGGACTTCCTGGAGTGCTTTAAAGATTTAGCGTCAGTGTGCCCAAATCACAGTATCGTGTTTTCAAACTTATTCTTGACCGTTTATTTCCTTCAGGCTGCTTGTGCAAAGGAAGCCACATAATCTGTTGCTTTCATAGGTTGAGGTATCTAGGCAAACCACTAACAGTGGTTTGGCTTCTATATCATTTTATGGTCATATTGTTGCCAGAGGAATTTAAGACATATCATAGTTTTGCTTGACAGTTCGCTGAGCGCACGCCGTAATTCTTTCAGCTCGGCCTTCGCAATTTTGCTTGCACTTCAGTTGATCAACACTGTCATTGCCTTGCTAAGACCCAGAAAATGCTGTCTTTTAATAAAGGTTACTAGCTTCAGTAGCGGGTAACCCAGCTGCGAAACAAGGTTTTAGTGCTTTGGACACCTCATCATTTGCCTTCATCGTCAAGCAAGGTAATTGTCTAGATGAACAACGCATTGTTAAAGGTTGGTCCTAGTATCTTACACTATACTTCGCAGCTGTTGAAGCCGGTAACACTGCATGTTTTTACACAATATCCTGTTACAATATTCTGCTTGGCACGGTAATATCGCAAGCCTTCTCTAGCTGGACGAACAACGATAAAATATTAAGTCGAGCTTAAGTTGCAACTATCTGATTCAATTTAATTAGGGAACAGTGGACAGAAAGCAGTGTAGTGATAATTTGGCGAACATGCGAACAGCATCTGCTTCTGTATTAAATCATAATGATGTGTCCGCTGTACGCCGTAATGGTGCTTTGTTGCCGTGCGACCACTACCAGTCGCATGCGGGCTGAGTATATTGCGAGAACGCCCAGCCCTACGCGGATTCGAACCCAGGACACAAGATTACAGGACAAGCTCGTTACCACTAGACTACGGGCCGATGCTTCTGATTAGCATCGGGTGTTCGCACGATCACCATCACATGAACATTCTCTGCAAATTAAGTTATTGAGCACTTTTAAAATGGATTATGATCACCTCACTGGAAGCTGCAACCATTCATGAACTTACCGAGCGCCGATTTGCGACGGAACTTCAATCAAATGGTTACAGTCAAACTTTTACTCACACTTCAATCAACCAGGTCAACAAAAGTGACAGCGGCAATGATTACACTGATTGGTTCTTAAATCAATATGGCATAAACTGCTTTTGGTACGTTAATATGGACACCAACATCATTTTATTTCAGGAGTATGCAAACATGTGGTACACACTGGGGTGTTTTTCCAAAATATTTTGCCAAAAGTTCACTGCTGTCTTAACGTTAAAGCGCGTTCCCTCGGTTTGTTGCTCGGCTCTAACCGCACAGACCAGGTTCATTGGATCAAAAACAATAGTGCATCATGGCATCAGCTGACCTCTGATGTGGTTGGTTTGCAACTGATCACTGTGAGTGAATGGCTGATTGGCCGGCTCTTGGATTGATGTGCTTAGTTTCGCGAGATAAATGCAGGTTACAGCAGACATTGTTTTGTGTCAAACACCTGTGTAAACTCCTGTTTCCCACGATCAATTTTAAGAGAGATGCAAGTCAAGTAATGTCATTTTTATCAAAGATAAAAGCTGCTTTCACGTGTTCCACCTGCGAACTCGACAACCAGCACACATGTAGGTAAATATTTCGTTGTATCTTGAAGTCTTGTTAGCTGATGATATTGCATTTGTGTCGATTCGTCATACTTCAGTTGGTATTCTAAGAAATACGCCCTCCTTTTACTAAATTTGCATATGCGCTTATTTTAAAACTTATTATTAGGTACCTGTAACGTAAGTCTAAGCTTAAAGGGTGTGCTAATTTTAACACAAACACGGTAATACTTATTAATAGGGGTTCATAGGATTAAACATTGGTTTCTTTCTAGAAAATATGAACTCGGCCATTGAGACGTTTAATGAAGTTGGGTTACTGTTGCCTGACCAGTAGATGCAATTAAAATCTAATCATGTGTTGTCTTGACGAATCGATTCCAATGTTTTTCCACCAAGAGTGATTTATACTTACTGATAGAGTACTACCCGTTTATTCCAAATACGTAACTGCTATATAGGGGCTATTGCTTTCGTGCTCAATGCTTCCCCCGGGGACACATGACACCACGCAAACATGCAAATCAATTCAGCTCGCTTCAGACTCTTCTAGAATTAATGGGAATGCCAAATATTTTCCGGAACGTAAACTGCTTTTTTGAGATTATTTGAGTACTCAATCACCTGTGTGAGGTAATCCTGAATTTTCTGTGAGAGTGGATTAGATTTGTCAAACAGTTGGTGCAACCAATTTGTTTAGTTATTATTCTGACGGAGGTCAACAAAACATAATAAGATATCAGCCGGTGGCTAAGAGTTAGCCCATCGATTCGTCCCCCTGTTTACAATGAACAATTCCCCATGTTACGCCACTTTGTCTCAAATATTTGGTTTTCGAAGTCTGATAACACACCTCGGAAAAATCAGTTTACCCGCACCAGCGGTCAGTAGTGATACACCGAAGATCTAAGTGTGCAAAATTAAATTATAAGCAACAATGTTCACCATCTCTAACTGACGATTCTAGTTATTCTTGATTATAGTAGTTGGATGAAAAATTGCTCGGATAAAATTGGCTACGCTGATAAATTTTAGCCATCTGTAAAGCTGTAACCGTGAAATGTCATTCAACTCATGTACTTATCTAATTCGACGAACAGAAGACTGGCATTAGGTCACATGCTTGCGGCACGACGTGCTAATTGTTTACGGATCATCATGTTATTTTGATTAACACAACCTTTTATCATGTGATAGCTATCGAATAACTATTCCTGGACAATAGCAACTGCACTGCTCACCATGGACTCATATAAGCATGTGATTAGTTGGTTTACCAATTCCGCCGGATATAAATGATCAAAATGCTGTTATATGATAATTCCTCCACCTGTCTATTACCCCACACTTTTTCCTGCCATGTATATGGCAGACAAAGAAGGATTTTATACATTAACATATCCGCTTAAACAAGTGATTAACGATCGTCGCAGTGTGATTGCCTGTACCTATTACAAACAAAAGCAGCACAGTTCAGATGTGTTAGCTAAGTGCATTTTACCGCTTCTAGACACAGCTGCTTCCTAACCGTATTCTGGTACACGTTTCAGTGATGGTATGCCATTCCAGGAATAGAGTGGCTACGTTTCCAGAGCAGGTGTGTATTTTGAGAATTAATCCACCTGTTTATAAATGAAGTATCCTTATTAACAAACGATAAAAGCTTGCGAATCTTTCATTCTGCGTTGCAAAATATTCCTCGATCACGTTTGCATGCAGTACGGTATCCATCTCTAATTATACGTGGACAGATAAGCGGACACATATCCCTCTATCGGTTTCAATGCTTTCATACAAATAGCTATTGAGATACGCGGTGCGCACCTTCCCATACTAAAGAGGAGAGCCATTACCTGGCCTTTGCTCCGAACTAAAGGCTGAGGTTATGCTTAGTGTTGATTTACCAATGAATGGACTTCCTTTGCTTTTTTCCCCCTCAGAGATGGTCATGAAGTGAACATGCCAGCAACAACTTGTGAAAGAAGTCAGGTTGCCAAACTTCTTAGGTTCAAGAAGCTACTGGTCAGCTCGTTTCGACTGTTTAGGATCTCATTGGCTGAGTCAATCGGAGTGGGGATTATCAGCTTTATGATTATTCTTTCTGAACCTAATGTTAACATACCGACACATGCTGCCATCATCGGAGCGGCTTTCGCAGTGGCTGTCTGGATCACAGGGCCTATTAGCGGTGGTCATGTGAATCCTATTGTTTCCCTGGCTTTTGTGATTACTCGCAGAATATCAGTTCTCGCCTTCGTTGCATACGTATGTGCCCAGGTCATCGGGGCCATAGTTGGATCCATCATCGCATGGGCGCTTATGGTGAAGCACACCAGTAATTTGGGAGTAACTCGGAGGATTCCCGGACTCTCGCAATCAAAATGCATTGGCTTGGAAATTCTTGGCAGCTTTGTGCTAGTCATGAGCGTGCTATCTACAGCCGACGAATTTCGCACCGTACCACGTACACAAGGTCACGTCACTACATTTCCAATTGTGTTTGGGATCACGATGGCACTGCTGATTTCGGTATTGGTAAGCTTATAGAGCTAATATTCGTTTTACCTTTCTAATTATAGTTCTAAAAAGAGCTGTCTGTTTTGAGCTTAAGAGAATGTATTCATAAGGTGAAAGTCGGATATTGTCTTTAACTTTGGCCACTGAATTAGTGCGTTTGGTTTATTTGCCCGACGAACGTATTAAGTTTCCGTTGTTGCATTGGGATATGAAAACTTGCTAACCTGTAAACGTCATTTCCACCAACACTTTTAAATGTGTTTTGGATGGAATGCTAGGTTTAGAATCTTATCGTATTCCGAATATATGATACTATTTGTACCTAAATCGAAGCAGGCCATCTGATGCTGACCTGATTTTAATTGGTTAACAATAAAACTCATCCGCACGCTATCATTTCCTTGGCCACAGGCCAGCATGACTAACAATGGCAGTCAGGCCATCTCACCAGACTGCAAATCAACCAAACCAATGACGTAGTATTTCGATTAGATACTTTGTTTCAGTGACTCACTGAATTTAAACCACTTGTATCTATTCTAGCCTTAATTGTCATGGTTGTATTAGCCTGATAATGAAAATGTGAAAACTAGCTTGTTCTCTACATCGCTTTCTAATATAAGGAATTTGATTTTTAACGTTTACATTTTTACGACGCACACAATTACCGGAAGTGTAGTATCCTGTAAAGTATTGCAATTTCTTCTGGAAGTTACAAATACCAAATGCGTGCACCTTAGAAACACGTTACCTATTTCTTTGAACACTGTGGTTTGACCTTCAGAATATTTATTATTACGTTCAGCTTGCTATTCTATAGTTGAATGTAAATAAACTAAAACATTTTGATGTAGAAGAAGTCCGAATGCACGATAAATCAGTGTAAATGTTTCTTTCCCCAAATATATAAATTTCTTCGTAGGGTCTCCTACTTTCAATCAAAAAGGAAACTTTTCTCTTTGAATTTAAACTGATGTAGGCACTTTCCTTCCAAAGCAAACTGAAAGGCAGAGCCTTCTATCTCTGTTCGGTTTGCCAGCAGCTAGACATGTAAATTTTGGTATATAAAAATGTTCTGTTGATCTACGTTTAACATAGGCACCATAGGAAAATCAGTGACTTTGGGTAAAATTGTGAGAAGAAATGTTTCTAACGTAGAGTTTCTTACCATTGGATCATAAAGTAAGAAAAATGGTATAGAATGGCGCAGCAATCTTGAGTAAAACCGGTAAATTTTCTAACCATGAAATGATTTTGCGTGTCTACAAACAGCCAAGAATGAGTGGCAAAGATTTCGTTTTTACAGTTGCCTTAATAACAGCTGCCTTTTTAATCATCGTATAACTCGGAAAAGACAAATTTGTCCATACTTTACTTTCACTTAGCATAGTAAACATTTAATGGCTCTGCTGTGATTGTTAACATATCTTCCCGTTTCACTAACGCTTTTGACTTGTAGGCAACACATGACGTTTCCGTTTGATTAAAAATTTTGTGAAAAATAACTCTGAAAGCTTTTCATACAAGGATGCGGCGAAAAGATAATATACCTTTTTTAGTCATAGATTTACCAGTGACTGGTAAACACCTGCTTTGGAAAGTCTCGTTTTATTGGCAGCTTTAATTTTCAGCACTAGTTCTATTAATGCAGTAGGCTGACGTGCACCAAGGCTGTCTAACTGATAAATGGATCAGACAATTGAACAAAGAAAGCGGGGGTTGGTACTTTAGCCACAAGAAACGGATCTTTGCTGGAAAAGTTCCAGCTAACCTTGTCAAAAACGCGTGAAAGTATTACTGTTTCGAAAGGGTACAAATTACGTCAGCCATTTTCCGTGTAAAACAGCGAGATGCTCATGATCTTAACCTTAGTTATATCCAGCTGCTCAACATAAATGTTCTATTGGCAATCCATTTTGAATTTTCGCCAAACCGAATTGTTTCATCTCTAACTCTATATACAATAGTATAAGGTTACTCAAACGTAGTAGATTTGACAAGTATTAACAGGGTGTTGACCTGGATCCAAAACTAATCGCCTAAAATAAACCGTATAGACTGATACGTGCAATGAGGATTCGTCCACATGATTTGAAAACAATCAAACCAGATAGAGTACCGTACTGACAAGTTCAAAGCAATTATTTTTCTCTTTTTTGACTCAAAGGCTCCCTATACAGGTGCTGGTATGAACCCTGCTGTTACTATTGGGACTTCAGTGATTAGTCGTCAATTCAACGAAATATGGGTACGTTTACCGAACAAACATTTATTGTTCACGTTACTTGGTTGAGAGAGTAAGGAACAGGCTGTGTGTTTACTCCCATTATAGTGTTTGCTCTAACAGAAGACATTCCTTTGCTGAGAAGGGTGCTCTGGTGCTTACTGAACTCTGCTGTCTGCTGCAGAACTTTCGTCATCAAGCTAGACGTAATCATTATTGTAACAGTAGAAAATAAGTACTCATAAGATGGTTGTGTATATTTGTTCCTCACAGTCTGCCGGCATGTTTTTCGGATTTTATTTCTTCTAAGACCCAGAGCTGCAAGTTCAAGAAACCCATATTCTCATTTGCACCTCCAGCCACTTACCCATATTTTATTTAAGCTGTTGTACGATTAAACATATTGATTTCAGCAGTATACTAGTGCGGTTTGTAATCAATATATTTAAGAAAGTCAGAAGTAGGCCTACTTCGGTAGTCGTAAAACTTTTCAAGTAGACAAGTGAATTTCTGTTGTAAGTACATGTAAAATGTGATCTGGGTTTTGCAGTGGGCGGAAGCTGTCTGGACTGAAAATTTCTGGGAACTTTTGACTTTTTGATTGTGGTAGTTATCGTATCGTTATGTCGTTGCCTGAAACTTCTACCTTGAGTAGCACCACTACATGAGGGCAGTTGGTTTTCAGAAACATGTAATTAAATCTTGAGGTCTGCGTTAATTAATAAAACTAGACGGCTTAATGACACGTTAACACATAACACCATGTGCCAAACTTTGCAAGATAATGAAAGGTAATGTCCTGGCTACTATATTCGAAGCATACTCTTAGAAACTTTGATGCAGATGATCATTACGTTACACTGACCACTTGATATCTTGCCTTAATTCTATTCCCATTTACTGGGTTGGTATATTTTGCTAAGCTGTGCGGAGATTGGAGAGTATTTTTGTAGTACTCACTGTGTGAATGGATTGGGACACGCAACGTAATGTACACAGTGATTCACATTGAAGTGAACCTCGGTAACTTCTCAGCTAGCTTATGACAATAAATGTAAGTAAAACTTTTGTTCCCATTTAAGTAATTGCATGTTTTGGCAAGTCACCTTCACCGTCATGGCGTTGATAATGCACTGGTTGAGTAAAGGTTGACGTGGAAACAGAACATTGATGTTAAAATGCTAGTAACCACAAAAGATTAGAGGCTATAAGTGGATCCAATAGAATAGTGTGCTGGACTGAACTGGAACTTATTACCGCCCTTGGCTTAAGATAGTCACAACCAAAGTTAGTAGCGTGTAACTGTGCAGACCCTTTCAAAAAATACAATTATTATGTGCGCATGTTCGCTATCACCGGACAACAAAGATATAAACAACATATTCTTCAGACAATGCAATTAATTAACAAATATCCACAAAAGTTCAGTTTCAATAGTTATGGTTCAATGAGATAGTGGCGTAAATAGTAGTACCTACATAACCTAGTTTACACATGCACACGAAGGAATGTAGTGCCACCTGTGTTCATTACATTCGCACTTGCTTCTTGTATGGATTGTGTATGTATATTACCATTAAAAATACTTGAGCCTTCATCCTATAAACTATTAAATTTGTTCATGCGCAGTGCATTCGCAAAATGTTCATAGCCCTGAAACAGAAATTTGTGCTAACACACTGAAATGCTAAACAATATGCTTGTCACTCTTGCATTATTATCTTTCACCAATTATATCGACATTTGATTTTCCCTGTTGATGCTCGTACTTTTGGGTTGTCGCTAAGTCTCCACTGTCACCATTGGGGTCAGTTTATATAAACAAGCATTTAGTTAGCATGTAAACTAAAACTAAGAAATGTTTTGGACAAACATTTTTATCATAATTCTCTTTAAGCGCTAAAAAGCAATTTTACCTCCATTACCACTTTGGCCAAATTACAGTACAAGCTACGCATGCTTTTAGAGTAGCAGTGTCGAATTCGGCGTTTCCTTCATTCGACTTTGTTTTATTCGCTGGCAAATGGTCAGGTATATGGCTCCCAAAAGACAGTTATTTAATTTTCGGATTTGGTTTTCTGTCTTGTTGAAATACTTCTAAAATTCCACACTATTGCCAACATTCACCCGTCTCTTATTCTGAATTTCCTGTCTTCCTTTATTTGAAGATATATATTGTTGGACCATTTGTCGGTTCTGTGTTGGCAGCGCTGATATATGAAGTGCTCCTTACAAACGCTGCATCAATAGCTCGCCTGAAGGCATGGTGCACGGAAAGAAATTTTGATCGTTCAAGGGATTACTGCGTCGTCAACCTCGACGATGGATAAAAGCGCGGTTAGTGAAGTAAATTTGCGTTTTTGATTAAACGTACTTTATTTCAATTCTTGATCGCGTCCAGTCATGCGTGAAAACATAAACATTCTTGTAGTTTGTTTAATTGTCACTACATACTCAACAGTAGACAGTGTTGAAGGGAGGCCCTATTTTCCAATCAAGCAACAGGTGAAACTTATATTTTGTGAATGGGAAGCCCAAACTACAGTACAGATGGCGGTCTGTACTGCAATTACCCTGAGCACAGAGTTAGGATTATGCATACATATATATATATGCATATAGATATACCATGAAGAGACAAAGCTAGGGTCTACCTAAAATGGCAATATCATTAAACGAAATTGTGCATTTGATTGTGTTTGTTGACGCATGCTTTTGAAAACCTTGAGTGCTAGTTAGGTTAGCTAGGAACTACCCATTCTAAACAGTCCCTATTGAAATCTTCTAAATGCACAGTTGGTATGTTGTGCTATGATTCCGTTTGAGTAATGCTTTATGCAGCACATAAAAAATTACCGAAACTAAATTAGGATTGCTGTTTGTCATAGCTAGTGGTGCTTTCAGTGTCTTAATCCGTACTGCCTACTCTTGAATGAATGGTAACTTTCGCAGAATACAAATGTGTTTGCTAAGGTTATATACTTTGGGATGTGTGGAAGTTAGGTACTCGGAGTACAATTACTATTTTTCTGCTCAGATACGATAGCTGTCTTTGGCATAATGTACAATAGAACAATGCTTTAATACGGGTAAAAAAGCAATAGCTTACTGGATCACGTAGCATGGTCATGTTGAAGATAAAATATGGAAATATTGCCAGCAAAATTGGATTCACATCGGTGGACTCCCCTAGGTATACACAATACAAAAGTTAATTACTTTTTAAGTCCTAGGGAATCATGACAAATGGGACGTTGGTGATTCTCGTATATCAGCTCAAAGTTGACGGCCTACGATTCACCGTCTACAATTCACCGCTTTTATTTGTGCTTAGTAATGTCAAGTAGTAATTTAGCCATATGAGAAGAAGTGCAAAGAAAATGTGTCTTATTCGATGAAACTAAACTGTTGTCATCGGATTTCACATGTACTGATAAGAATCATGAATTCTCTCGAGTAATGATTTACCCTGTGTAGTCTCTAATTACATCTAGATTAACATTTAGGTATATATCCCCGCGGAACGATGTCTGCTTATCAAACAGTGCGGTAGTACTGTGTAGCACACCGAAGATATAAAGTAGAAACATGGCGCAGCATAGCAATCCTTGGACATTTTGAAAAAAATAAACCCTTTCTACATTCTTAATATAGTAGCTTTCTAAAAGCAAGCATCGCAGTCCGTTTTTGCTTATATTGCCAAGTTTGAAGGGAACAGAAGATGGCACATGCAGCCATCACCATGTCATTGTTTATCTTGCTTATATGCCTTTACTAGCCGATGCAGTGAATTACACGGAGTAAATGAAACAGAACTTATTTACTGGACGTTCCAGCTCTCATGTCATTCAAACCATAGACACTATTTTTTGTTTGTCTCACGATTGTATTCAACTGGATTTTGCGCAATCTTTTCGTTTACTTGGATCATAGCCCTAAGTAGCTTCAACAATATGCTACTCTTATGGAGTACTTGGTAGTTAGCCATAAAATATTACTTGGCAAATTGAGCTTAGAGGCCAAAATACCACCATAGGTTGGGTAGGGAATGAATATGTGGTGGGGCATCAGACATACCATAAATAGTTACACACATTAAGTACAATTCACTTAGCTTTCAGGAAAAACAAAGCTAACCCTTTAACAGATATCCTTGTGGTTGTAGAAATTGAAGCTTCTAAAGGTGTATCTTTCTGTTTTCTCGCCTTCATTCATGAGTACTGAATACTGAACGTCCAGGGCAAGGACACATGCATCCGTATTGCTCCATCGATATAGTATCGGGCAAGCACATGGAATAACCTCCTTTATTACCGTATACTTTCGACGCAATTATTATGCGTGACGAATCCATAATCAGATACGATGCGTTCTCGAAACCTATAATCCACAAAGTGTGCGGCAAGTGATAGGTTGAATTCTGACACCGATTAGGTTTTGAAATAGTTCCGGTATTTCACCACCCGTTGCTCGGAGCATAGATAATGAACTTTATACTTTAGGTCCGGCATTACAAGTGCTGTTTGGTGTGCGAACTGCAGCAGCGGCCTAAGCATGGGAAAGTGACCCAGATGTAATATCCTGCGTGTCATTATGAGGTCTAGTCAAGACCGAACAAACGACTGGGTGTAGATCTCTAGTAGTTTGCATCGGACTTCGTACGATCTACCTAAGAAATTGGGGTTAAGTTTGGTAGCTAAATGCTGGGCCCGTTCCAGCCTCTGCACCTTGACACGGATGATCGGAAAACAGGCAGGCGATCCGTACTCGATCATCGGCTTTTTGACGGAAGAGGATAGTCGCGTGGCAATCCTTTCAGACCAAATACAGAAGCTACGTTTGATCGCTCAAAGCATGTGTTATCTATGAACTCCAACTTGTGGCGTGTCATTACACCGAGATCCTTCAGGGAAAACATGGGAAGTAGAGGTTTGACCGACTAGAGTGTACCTACGCCGATGACCACCATGCTCCAAGCTCATAAATTACGATTTGACTGAGCTGGTCGGCAGATTGATATATGCGGACCACATGGACAGGTGGCCGAGGTAATGCTGAAGTACGACGCAGTCCTCAGGAGCACCAATTACTCTCCAAATCTTCAGATCGTATGCAAACATAGTGCAAGGGAACCGAAGAACCTTAAGTATTTCTTTGCTGTGGATTGGGAACAAAATAAATCCCAGCCCCGTGTCTTGGGATACCAGCCGGTTAGGTTGTCATCCAGCCTTATCCCGCATTTCCACCCAATAAGAAAGTCACTGATCTAGTGGTTCGGTAAGCCACCAATACAGCACATCCTCATATTGAATGGGAAGACAGCACGGTGCACCATGTCAAAAAAGTATGGAATTCAGTGTAGATCACGTCGATATATTACCCTGGGTCATCTTTTGCAACTATTCGTGCCTTGTCCCCTGCAAGTTGATGATGCATTAGCAGCCTTTATGAAACCGTGTTGGACCGCAGTCAAAAGTCTTTCGGCGCCGGAAGTTGCAGTATGCCCTTTAGCACAATCTTATCCAGTACTTTGGCCAAAACGGTCAGACAAATCTGCCGCTAGTTGTCCATCTTACTTTAGTCACCGCCCTTAATAAATCGCCTTCACTACTAAGCCTTTCCAGCCGCTCTGCAATACACATTCGATCAACGATCTGTTGAACAAATCTGTCACGGAGGGCGAGATGATGACAGTCAACGACTTTAGGATCAGCTGACAGGGCGCATCGGGACTGGCAGGCTTTGTGTCGTTAACGCTAACAACTAGCTAGCTAGATTTCGGATATCTTCCACAGCGGGTACCAGGCTCACAAGTCCAGTAGAGGCTACACACATCCAGCTTGGTATATACGCGTGCCCACTTGCAAACACAAAGGTGAATTGCGGCACCAACACACACACAAGTTCAGTGCTGAAGATCATGGCCGTCCGTCAGAGACCTGTAACACTGCCATGTCACCCGCAGATCTCATACTTCGCTTTACATAAGCAAACATTCACTTGTGGGCCATCTTCACTGTAATAGCAAGCTCCTCTTCGAATTTCGAACACTCTTGAGGTTTCGCGTCGTTGATTGCATCTCACTTCCTTTTGTGTATATCCTAATCGTAGTCCAAGGCTGACAGAAGAAATGTATTACACACTAGGCGTCACCATCGAACCAGCTAGCCGTATTATATGTCGAGCCAATGTGGCTTTATTAGTCTAGCTTTCCGACACTCGTGACATACGAATCGCGAGCAGATCGATTTCATATCCCTATTGTAGCAGATAAACAGACTTCATGATGGATCTTTTGGCAGTGACCAGTCCACTTAACTAGCGACTCAAACCAGATGATCAAAGTAATTCATCCGGTGGTGGTAGGATGGCTCCAGCGGACGCGATTACATAATCGAAAGCGCAAGTCCAGCCATGATGGTCGAGTGCTCACTCGCAGTTAAACAATTTAGGACCAGAACATCCCGCACACTCTGTTCGCAGCTTGTCAACATCAGGTCCAGGAACGACGGGATTTTAGTGCGTGTAATTCGTGTCGGCTGTCAGATGAGTTGTGCTGCTCTTGTTTCCTATCTCATCACAGGAAAATTTGCCTCTAATTCATAATTACTCTGGAGAAGGTGGATCTCAGACCAGAGTAATTTAGGGAACTTAAAATCATCAAGGTGCAAAAAGC